CAAGGCCCTAGTTGGGCCACGCTCTAGAGTGGCAAATCTGTGATTCCTTCAGGGCTCTATCCTAGTGAACGAAATCGTTCACACCACTACTGCCTTCGTTATGCCTTCAAGACTAGAAAACCAAATCGCTTCGAAGAATAGCAATTGTAAAGAGAGTGACGGTGATAAGGTGGGTTTGCATTAGGAAAGTGGAAGCCATAGAAGAGCGGCATGGGTAGCGAGGTCAGTCTTTTTTGCGCCACAGGTGCGCTAGTTCTAAAGCGGTAAGATTCAGAGCCTAAAACCGGTCCGCCTCCGAGAAATCACCTCGATCCAGGCGCGTACGTTTTGGTTTGCAGTATCGCTATCATTAGCCTTTGATGTTCGTTTTGAAAACGTATTTCACGTCGAAAGGGCGCATTTCTGTTTGTGCCCTCCCTTTTATTCTATCGGAGCCTTTCATTCAAAAGCCAGCATCTGAAAATGGTTCGAGTTAGCAGCCATACTCAGGTCCTGGCGCTAAGGGTTTCTGATGGTCATTTTCAGTCATTCGCACATTCAGTTGCCGCACCATTTGGCAATTATTTTTCCATATTTGATCTCTGTCGAATTATCGTAACTACTTTCACTGAAGCCTGAAAATATAGTTTCTTGGAATATAGCCGTCACTGCGTAGAATCGCATTATAAGCCCCATGCCAATGTTCAAACTTGCATTGGCCGTTTTTAATTTGGCCCTGCGTTACAATGTTTTACTCGATTTTGCCGGACATGGTTGACCCTTAAAAATTGCAGATAAACGCTCTGAATACGTCAGTGGACCCTTGCGAGGATTTCTACGAATTCGCTTGTGGATCATGGAACGAGGATCACCCGATTCCAGATGATATGTCAGCCTTCGGTACATTCTCATTCGTGAGGGAGCAAGTTCGGCAGCAGTTACGAGGTATTTTCTTGGAATAACTTACTAAATTTCTGTCAAATAGAGAAACAACCATCAAATGTTCTTATTTAATCTCACTTGACCTTTATGAGTCAATTTGTATAATATCTTGGGTCAAAAGTAAATATTGTAAATTTGCCAATATCTCGCAACCAGAACCAAAATTCCTAAAAACCGCGGTTGTGGTCCTTTATATAGATTTCTTCAAGCCACCTTGAAACATTATAGGGAAGCGAATTGAAGAAGTGATTTCGAAAAGTATCCGGGTATCTGACAGGAGGCCTATTGCACGGCGAAAAGGCAGAGTCGCAGTGGTCAGCGGACGAGTCGCAGCGCGTGCTGTGTAATGTGAGACTAGTAAAGATAACTGCTGTGGCTGCGACTCGTCACTGACCCACCTGCGACTCTGCCTACTCACCAGGCGATGAGTCTCCTCTCGGGTTACTGAGTGTTCTAGCATATGTAATTTTAAAATTAGAAAACTAAGAAAGGTCAGGCGTCATTGGAGAAAGAAGCCTTAACAAATTCTAGTTTCGTTAATTTTCCTCACAAGAGTCTCTATCCACACAAGCCTTATAAAAATAAGTCTATCGAATTGCCCTCTCTACTAATATGTATGTAGGCCAATTGCGTCTAATCCAAGAACAGCGGATCCCGGCGGACGCTTGAGGCCGATAAAAAAGCAAAACATGAGTTGTCGTAGAATCGTCTGGGTCTAGCCGCACTATACAAAATATTTGGGGCTTTTATCTACAATAGATAGGAATTCCTGGGAAATTCCGATGAGTACAATCATAGTGAACCTTTTGCTTTTTTCTGCTCT